ATGATATCCTAATGCTTGTTGCACCATGGAGGGGGCAGATTTCTCTCACATGACTGCTATAAATAGAGCAGAAGTTGTAGAGAAANATATACACTGCGTATACACTTGAAAAACGAATTGCAATCTGATATTCTCTTCAGTAAGAATTCAACATTGGCTATACTTTGCATTCCTTCCTCTCAGAATTTCCATTCGACTTCTGAGTTGTCCTCCTTATTCTGCATTATTTTTAACTACAAACAAAGCATCCATAAGTGTGATTTGCTGTCGAACTTTGTGTTCGCTGAAACACTGGGGTTTGAAGTACCGCTACACCAGTGTGTAATTCGTTTTATCCTGGGAGGAAATAATCTATAACCTTGGGTACTAGGAGGGGATTAAATTCCTTAAGGAAACACTGTGAATTCAGTGGGCTCGAATTAACTTATGTTTTATTTATATTTACGTTTATAAGCTAACGTTCTAATTTCCAGAATCATTATTTACAAATACAGGCAGGATAATAACAATTCTTTCATTAATCTAACACTTATCTATTGATGAAATAATTATTCCCAAGTATTTTCATAATTTTATTGCACTTGTGTAGGCCCCATGTGGACCGGGCTTTACTTAAATTGTGATTTTTAGGCTCAAAACTCATACAAATTAATTGCAGAAAATTTTGAAACTTTATGCTCATTCTTAATCTTCTATCCATCGTCTCTATCACTGAAATACCGCAATATCATCGTTTGTCACACCTACTACATGGCCTCTTCTTTTATTCTTATCCACCACTGAAAAACACAAACACCATGGACACAATACATCATGTTTGTCTATTCTTCTTCAACCCCTAATTTGAGTTAAGCACCGGGGCTAGTGTTTGAAGAAGAGAAATGAGATGACCAAAACAAACAGACAAATATAAATAAAAGAGTTGTAACGTAATTAATAGTAAACAACACTTCGTCCAAAACAATTTTATCCTTTCTTAAGGCGTTACTATTTGTTGTTGTATATATTCCCATATATTGCACACTTTCCTGTTTAATTTATTCTTAAAAAATATTATATTTTTATATTTAAAAATAATTCACTTTTAATTTTTTATTTACCTTTAATGAGATCATTTATAATCAGACAAATATCAAATATTTATGTTAGATCATAAGTTTTAAAAAAATTCATTTTTTTCTTAAAATTTGTGCCTAGGTAAACAATAGTAGCTTCAATAAGTGGGACGGAGGGAGTAGTATACTAGTATTTTCTAAATATAAAACCTAAATCAAATGTCTACTATTGTTAAATATAAGCCTAAATTAAAGTATACTAGTAGACTAAAAGTATATTAACTTGTGCTAGTAGAAAATAATGGGTGCCTCGTGAAATTAGTTGAAGTGCCAGCACGTTCCACGACCTGTTTTGCTTTAATTACTTTTGTGGTTCATTTCTTCTTTTTAAAACCTGATAGTCTACATCGCTAAACTTAAAAAAACTTGTGGCTTCCTTTGCAATTAGTAATTACTCTACTCTGTAGAACCTCCGATCAAAACTTCCAAGCTTTTCTCAGAAGCCTCAAGCAGCGAACAAAAGGCCAATCCTGTCATTACCCACATCACAAAAAAAGAGCGGCTCCCCCCCCCCCCTATTTCAGTTTGGCGCCCGCTCAGTTCTAGTCTATCCCCCTTCATTTTTAGGGTTTTGAAAAGCTCTTCCGCTTCACTTTCAACTCACTCTTTCTCTCTCTCTCTCTGTCAGTTTCTCGAGAAAAAAAGTGTAATTTCGCCGGAAAAAATGCCGCCGATAAACTTGACGGAAGGCGCGATAGCGATTCTAACGAACCGCGAAGCACATGCGGAGGATTTTAAACCGGTGTTACAAATCACAGATATTCGGTTAGTGAACACTCAGAATCAGAATAACAATAACGAACGGTACCGGATCCTTTTATCGGACGGGGAGTTTCTTCAGCAAGGGATGTTAGCTACGCAAAAAAACGATCTTATTCGGTCTCAACAGATTCAAAAAGGATCTATTATTCAGATGAATCAGTTCGTTTGTAATAACATCCAAAATCGAATGTAATTTCTCTGATTTTCCTTCAATTTTGTCAATTTATATGATATAAATGCTTGAAATTTCGGATTGCATATGTGCACCTTGAGTGAGTTTTTTCATTAAGATGCTTCGCCACAAGAACTGTGTATGTTTCTTGGATATATATATGATTATTAGGCTTGAGAAAGTCAATTGCTTATACTTGTTATTTAATTAGCTGTTTGCAAATTTTAGCACGAACTCCCGTATTGTTTAGGACGGTCAAAGCAATGGGAGAAAAAAAGGTGATTATGTTCAATAATTTGTGTCTGTGAATTTGTTTTTATCTTCTATACCTTATAAACCAAAAAATCCTGGGAGAGTGGTGGACTTTTTCTTTTTTGTTGATCGTTATTAGGGGCTGTTATTGCGTGCTTGCTTATAGCTAAGTTACCTAGGATTGCTTTATAAACCTAATTAAGAATAGGCTCAACTTGGGTTTAAACTTTTGTGTATGTGGTAAACTTTTTCCTATTATAACAGGGTTCCTTAAATGTGTATATGGTAAACTTCTGTGTATATGCTTTGCTCCTGCAGTTGGTGTTGCAACTTTTTAGGTTCGTAGATTGGCTTCTCCTCTAGTGACACTGCTGTGATTTGAAGCACATCTTATATGTTGTGTATAGTTAGACCCTAATTGTAAATTTTTCCTCTAAGGTGAGTGGATGACACTTTTGTATGATGAGCTTTCTGAGATTGGCTCTTTCAAACAAAATTAGCAAACAGCTTACCTGCAACCCCACCATGCCAGTAATTTCCAGCTACACTTTCCAATAAGAAACTATATATACACACACTTCATTTTTTGTAAGTGTCTTTGAGAATCATACTTGTAGCTTTAAGTGTTTGTTTATTGATTTTTCTTGTCTAATTCTTCAAACAGGATCATCATTGTCATTGAATTAGATATTTTACTGGAGACATGTGATACCATTGGAGAACCAAAGCATTATCTCCCAAATGGTATTAGTCCTTCAGTGCCAGGGCCAGCTGCCCCACTTCAGCCTTCCACCAATCAATTAGGTGGTTTAAGTGGCAGCCCTCAATCCTTTACTGCTGTTTCAGCTACTTCAAGCTCAGCTCCAAGATCAAATATGCCTGGTGGGATGCGATCTCCCGAGTCAACCCGTAGCATTGGTTATAATACTTCCTCTGCTGGTAATATTGACTCTGAAAGATATAGTTCAACAAGTGCACCCCTTTACCCCAAAGCAGAATCTGGTCCAGCGATTTCACGGGCTCCGATGAATAATTATGTGCGGCCACCTCAGCCTTCTTATCAGCAGCATCCTCAGTCTTCTTATCAGCAGCCACCACCGTTGTACTCAAACAGAGGACCTATAGCCAAGAACGAAGCACCGCCGAGGATTGTTCCAATTGCTGCTCTCAATCCATATCAGGGTCGATGGACTATCAAGGCCAGGGTTACTGCTAAGGCAGAACTCAGACACTACAACAATCAAAGGGGTGATGGAAAAGTATTCTCTTTTGATCTTCTTGATTCTGATGGAGGAGAAATAAGAGTAACATGCTTTAACTCTGTAGCTGACCAATTTTACCACCAGATTGAGCCAGGTAGAGTGTATTTGATTTCCAAGGGTAGCTTGAGACCAGCTCAGAAATCTTACAATCACCTTCCAAATGACCATGAAATTATGCTCGAGAGCACATCAGTGGTTCAACCTTGTTTTGAGGATGACAGGACTATTCCTCAACAACAATTTCATTTTCGGCCAATCAGTGATATTGAGGCCTTGGAGAACAATAGTGTGGTAGATGTGATTGGTGTGGTGTCTTCAATAAGTCCATCTAGCTCAATAATGAGGAAAAATGGTACAGAAACTCAGAAAAGAGTTCTCCAGCTGAAGGACATGTCTGGCAAAAGTGTTGAATTAACTTTGTGGGGAAATTTCTGCAATGCAGAAGGTCAAACACTTCAAAGTATGTGTGATTCTGGAGCTTCCCCTGTTTTGGCAGTCAAAGCTGGTAGAGTAAATGATTTTAATGGCAAATCTGTAGGTACTATATCTACAAGCAAGTTGTTTACAGAACCGGATTTTCCTGAAGCTCTAAAACTGAAGGCATGGTTCGAGAGGGAGGGAAAGAACATGCCATCAGTATCTCTTTCCCGAGAAGTGAGCAGCATTGGTCGGACAGATGTGCGAAAAACTATATCTCAAATCAAAGATGAACGATTGGGCACTTCCGAGAAGCCAGATTGGATCACAATAAGTGCCACTGTTACATTTATAAAGGGTGAGAACTTTTGCTATCCTGCCTGTCCCCTCATGATAGGAGATCGACAGTGCAACAAAAAAGTGACAAATAATGGGGATGGGAAATGGCGGTGTGACAGGTGTGATCAGACTGTTGATGAATGCGAATATAGGTACATTCTTCAGTTCCAGATTCAGGACCATACTGGCTTAACCTGGGTTACTGCATTTCAGGAATGTGGTGACCAGATCATGGGTGTGTCTGCAAAAGAACTGTATTTCCTAAAATATGAGGGGCAGGATGATGATAGATTTACAGATATCATGCGTAATGTCTTATTTAACAAATTTATCTTCAAATTGAAAGTGAAAGAAGAGATGTTTAGCGATGAACAGCGCGTTAAGTCAACAGTGGTCAAAGCAGAGAAGCTGAACTTCCAATCAGAGATCCGGTTTCTGTTGGATTTGATAGACAAGAACAATGGGCAGGAATCCAGTACTCTGCCTCCTAAGACAGATAATGCAACTCCAACTTCAGTGTATAATAATGCTGGATTTGGGAGTAGAACCATAGAACCGATGAATCCTGTTGCAAATTATGGTGGCAGCAATAGCAGTATCAGCAGAGAAAGTGGACTGCAGGGAAATCAGCAAGGTCAATACGGAAATCAGTTTACTGGCTCGCAGTTTGCTCCACCTGGTTCTACAGGCATGTATATGAGCTGTAATAGTTGTGGTGGAACAGGCCATAGTGCTTCAAACTGTCCAAGCATCATGAGTGGTCAGGGCCAGGCATATGGAGGTGGCTTTGGCAATAGGGTAACTTCAGGAATGAGCAGTGATGGTGCTTCTGGTGAGTGCTATAAATGCCATCAGTTTGGACATTGGGCAAGAGATTGCCCAGGTGTAAGCAATGCACCCCCTGCCAATAACATGACACCTGCTTCAGGAATGAGCAGTGGTGGTGCTTCCAGTGAGTGTTATAAATGCCATCAGTTTGGACATTGGGCAAGAGATTGCCCAGGTGTAAGCAGTGCACCTGCTGCCAATAACATGACTCCTGGAAGATATGGGAATCCTCCAAGGCAACGTGTTGGTGGATTTTGATCAACCTTTGAGCATATAAAGTTGTCCTGTGCAGGTAGATGCCTTCTCTTAGGTAGGTAGTACCTTCATGGATCATCTTCTGCTTTAGAGAAAGCTTCTTGACGCTTGCATTTTGCCTTTTTTCTATACAGTGACTACTTGGGGCTGAAATTTTGCGCTAGTGTTCCTGGATGCCTGGGCTTAAAGTTGTCCTCAGTTTTGAGGAGCGACATGTCATTGCTCTTCCCTGTAAATTATTTCCTGTTTAAGTTTTTTTTGATCTCTTTTATTGTTCTTTTTAGGTAATCTGTCTGTGGTTTCGTCCTTTTAAGAGCAAAATTTCTGTGTTATAGTGTAGACTGCTATATTAATGTTACTTATTTGTCTTTTTTCATCTGTGATGTGTCATCTGTATTCATGTCTTGAATACCTAATAATTTGGGTAATAAGCTTCATATTCGATAGCACTCAAAAGTGATTCTGGTATTGACCAATTTTTATGACAGTGAGAAGACCAAGATGAACAGTGTATTTCTTTTAACGTATAGTTCGGATTTTATTAAATCCTCAAGGTTCTCACCTTCCTATTATCCGACAAAATAGTTTCTGTTAAGTAGTAGGCGATAAACTTGCTCTGTGGCTGCATCTGAAAGGTGCAAAAGGTGAGGAATCTGGCCTTGTTTTACCATCCATCCACAATGATTTTATTGATTAATCGTATATCTATTTTTTTCCTTTTGGAGGGGTGGGGGTTAGACAAGGAGATTCCAATATAAACCAAGATATGAAAACGGAAAGCACGATTCATTTACAATCTTCAAGCTTTTTATCAGATAACCGACAAAGAGTCGAGTGTCCACACGAACAACTCAAAGATTGTTTAAGTACATAATTCTCGTGGTTGAGATATTTATCTGTTAAAACCAGGAACAAATATCTGTAGAATCGGGTTTGTGAACATCCTATCAATTTTTCGATTGAAGAATCTCCAGATGACTCGTTTAAGTTAAAAAAACGGTGCGTACTCGATTTTAATGAGAGCAGCAAATTCTCTTGGTCTAAAGCCAAACAGTGTACATTGAGATTCTGAATGAAACAAATAACCATATAATGTCAGTTTTCACAAAAGTAATGCAGGTAACCAGCATCTGCACCACCTACATCACATTGAGATGTGTAAATACAGATAATTTTCTCAGAGATCTGGCATGCCTTTTCCTGTTTTTGGATCATACGTCCTCTCCATGACCACCTCCATTGGAGTATCCTTGGGACCAGCTGCACAAAGAAAAGGAGAACATCCAGAAGAAAGAGGATCAGACGTCAGCCGAATACACACAAAAATTGACCCTGGAAGAGTAATCAAACATCTTAAATTTGGTTGAACCAACTCTATGTCAAGAGAAGGAACGTGGTAAACAACAATGACAAGCACCATCTACTCACAGCAAAAAGAATACTTAAGTCGCACACCTCAGGAACCATCCATCATCACTCAGCACACATATTTCTCAAGCCATTCCCACCTTCAACCTTCCATATTCCCAAACAGTACTCCCACAGGAAAGTAACAGAAGAATAAACCATATTATTGATCTCCCCAGATCCACGCTTCATCTAAATTTGACTTACAATCTAATTTTAGGTTACACTTCTTAAAACCGCACCATAACGTGTCATGCATATTTCAACAATTTGTCTTAAATGAAACCTATCCTGCATTAAAGTTGCATCATAAAGTTGTGTCTACATAAATTGATTCTTAGCTCTTCAAAGTTTTAAGTTTTAATTTCTTCTTCCAGTTGAAATCAGATCATACCTCTACGGCTATATCCCCTCTCCCCCCCCCCCAAAAAAAAAAAAAAAAAAAGTAAAAGAGAAGAAACACATGGCATATACTACGTTTGAGATGCAACAGAATACTCAGCTAGAAGCATATACTCAGGCGAATGTGAAAGAATTTGATAATTACCAACTGTAGGCCTTGGTGTGGTCCTTATATTTAAGATCTCGGGTCGGGGAATAATAGAACCTGACGCTCCTATACCTCTTGAGACTCTTACTTTGGAGCCATCCTCTAGGTATCTAATTCCGACCTTTGTTGGTTTCCTGCGGAAGAAGACATGAGCTACCACCATGTTCTAAGAGCAAAAGACAAATGGTAAGAGAAAAATAAATACATCCATACCCTGTGACTGGATCCACAACCTGAACATTGGATACATGTAGCGGGGCTTCAACTGTAAATATTCCACCTTCATGGCCTTGCCCTTGTTTAATATGTTTCTTGACCTGCAAAAGGGCATATAATACAAGTAAGGGGTAGTTTTGTTTTACATACTAATTATGTTTTTGATAAAATAACATAAATTTATTTATAAACAGTACCAAGTGGGTACCGAAATATGTAACAAAAGTAAGTGATTTGTCCTCTGCCAAAGCTTTAGAAAAGTCTAAGGCCAAAATATCGTCATGTTAGATAAAGAATCTCCCTTACACCAACAGTCTAAATATATTGTTTACATAAAAAGAATAGCTTGAAGCGCTTCTTAGTCAATTAACAACTCCCTTCCTTAATACAGCTATCACTAAGTGTGATAGTGAACGAGCTACTTGTCTAAAACACCACCAATTGATTCTTGCTTGCTGTTCACTAAAAATCCAATCTGTAGAGAGGTTGTCTTGAAGTTCTTACTAGTGAAGCAGACTCCTACAGCGAGCTATATATCAACAAAACCACCTTGAGCAACTCAGTTTCTTGTTCAATCTAACAATCTTGATGGCGACTCCTCCCACATAGTTTGACAAAGGTGTAATCAGTCTATCTCATATTCTTTATATTACGTCACCAATGAGGATTTACTACATTGAAATTATTTTTATGTTCTCAGATTACAGTCGTATAGACGTATACCGTTGGGAAATTAGAACCTAAACATTCTTCAGTCTACACCCATTCTCCAACACCACCACTAAAACTTAATGCAAAAGAAAGCACGACAAAGGCTGATATTATCACCACTTGAACCCAGAGAGAAATAATCCAAATTCAGAGATAACGTTACATCATGGCATACCAGAGTAGCGTCATGAAGGTCGCATAAAGTCTGATAGGATCATATAGGACTGTTAACTTCTCAAGATCCTTCTCTATCCAGTATGAGCTTTTCAATTTAAAGCTTTTCTTGCTAGGAATTGCTACATCTACTAACCTAACAATGGTATATGCTCTTAACTGACTAACCAGCACTTAATGATATAAAATTAATACTTCTTTTCTTTACCTATTACTTTACTTTTTCTTATATTCACAAACAGTCTACTGTTTAGTGTTTTCTCAAGGTTTCTATATGTAGAACTACTATTATTATGCAGAAAATTCAGACAGCTCAGCTGCATTAGACATTTTTTTAGAAGAAAACAGCTCATCTGCATTAGACTTTATAGCGTCAAAACATCTCTTTTCTTTTCAATATTTTCATTAAGGCTATAAATCTAGTAATCTTCGTACATAGTGAGCTGTACCTTCAAATTGCAACATGCCTTTTTCTTTAAAAGTAGGGATATTTTATTTTTTTAAGTTGCAAACAACATCATACCACAAAAAACCAACTATCAGATTGTCAGAACCACTTATCAATCTTCTATGTAAAATTCACAAGACACCATATATTGGACCACAACAATCAGAAAGAAAACATTCATGTAAGAGTCAAGATTTGGAAAGGCAACACAAAGGAAACTCCAACAACAAACTTTCTAGTTCATCATAACCCAAGTCCTCAGTTCTAAATACACAACCCCTCCACTTTGAGCATATGTCTGAACGTCAGACAAACATGGTTATGATGGCTCCACCATGAAATATGGCACATACTTAATTTTGAATATCCTGACACTGTAGACATATTCATAAACTAAAATAGATGATACACAACACTTAGGACTCAACAATCAATTATAGCTCCTACTCCGCCGCCTCCTACTTTAGGATAGGATCCTCCTCGGTCCTTTTTACATTGTGCGGGAGGCTAAACATACTAAACTAGCCTCTTCTACTCTTTTTTTTATCATTAAGCATGGATTTTATTTTTGAGACAACCATTTTATACTTGCACACTTACGAAGAGGCTCATAATGTTAAATCGTTCCCAGAAGACTACCAGTGAGGCTTTAGATGACCCAAAGGTCAAACTGTCAAATTCTCGATTCAAGCCAAAACAACCAGGTTCTCAGGCTTCTGAAGTACTAAGCTAAAATCAGGTACTCATGGTGGGGGAATGGAACATGAATAGGACAAAAGACAAAAAGGGAATTAAGAGCATCATAACTTTTCATTGTAGATTTGTACTTTCCCAAAATTTCTGAAGATTGTGTAAGATTAGATAGAAATGTCTTCAAACTTGAGAGACAATCTCTTTCCGTTTTCTCTACCATTAATATCTTCTTTCGAAGGCATTTTTTTTTAAAATCTCATAATTTATGATCAATTCATTCACTATTTTTTAAGGACGATTTTTCACATCTAAATTATGTATTAGATATATACGCTTTTCCTTTATAAATGAAATTAGTTGAACTTAATAAAATTAAAAAATAAAATAAAGAATCCAAAAAATACTTGATTTCAGTTTATGGTTCCACATTTCATTTACACGCAATAAAATAACTCGAAGATAAGCATAAGCATTGAAAAACCTCTTGCATAACCCTTGCATTGAAAAAAATATAACCAAAGATGAGCATAACCCTCATAGATGACGAGATACAGAAGTGGGGAAACAAAAACAGTTGTATGACTTGAAATCTGTTTGCAAGTTGCAACTTCAAAGTTGGAATTAGGTGAACTTTATGAGTTAAGATTCTCAAATTGATGTTAAATCTTCTCCCACTCATTAGTATCAATTCCACAATAGGACTCCCTAATACATAATAACAAGTAAACAGATAAAAACAGGATTTTGGAAACAATGAAAAAAAAAGTGAAAAAGAACTAAATTATGACAAGATATGTTTGACAACCAGGGTAAATTATCACAAGACACGTTTAAAGGATATAAAGAATGTGCCAAGAAAAATGCTAACCAGGTTTTTGCCCTCAACGATTACACGGTTTTGGGAACGTATGACACGCTTAATGGTACCAGTCTCGCCTTTATCTTTTCCTCTGATAATCATGACCTGAACATTGGAAACAAAACAAAAAAAGGAAATAATTAGAAAAATCCCTAGGGTATTATAGAGTCAATCAGCCAGGGAAGCAGTGATTAATGAGCTTACATTATCACCTCTGAGAATTCTCCACTGATGAATGAGTTTCTGATAACTTTTCCAACCCATTTTGAGCTTCCCCAAAGTACAAGCTCCCTGCTTTGCATTCAGACGTGAAAATAAATCCATTAATCAGATGAATATACAACAACAACAACAACAACAACAACAAACCCAGTAAATTCCCATAAGTGGGGGCTAGGGAGGGTAAGATGTTCGCAGCCTTACCCCTACCCGGGAAGCGCAGAGAGGTTGTTTCCGATAGACCCTCGGCTAAAGAAAAGACCACAAATTTAAAAAAATAGAAAAAAGAAAAGGGCTTTAACATTTATATAAAATATCACAGATATATACACAAATGCATGCACCAACATCCATTTGCAATTAACATAAGCTGGTTAATATCCAAAAAGAAGAGACTACAAGGTGTCAAATACTAACAAGCCCCACAACTTAAAAGGCATCAATTTGTTTCAAAATTTTGACTTTTTTTTAACCAGTTAAGAGAATTTCAAAAATTCTGACTTTCACAACACTAATATATAAAATTTACTGGGGGACTGAGAAACCACAATCCAACCTCAACCATAGTCACAAAAAGATAAATAAAAACCATAACACTTTGAAATGAAAGTTAAAACCCATTAACAAAAGAAGAAAACCCATTAACAAGAAACTTAAAAAAACAAACATAAGACTTAATTAAAGATAAAAATTCAATACACAGCTATAAAAAATGCTGAGCTAAATTTACCTGAAAAGTAAAAAAAACACATCTTTCTGAAACGAAAACCAAAAACAAGCCAATCCAACACTTAGATCTTATCTTTCAACCACATGCAGACCCAAATAAACACCAATGCATTTTTTCCGGCATTGATATCATCAAAAAAGAAAAAAAAAAATAGTACCGACAAAAACTCCAAAACCCAATGCATCTATTAGAAGGAAAAAAAACCCACAAAGAAAAATTCGATGATCCAGTTATAACAAAACCGGGTACCACATTACAAACCCAGTTCAATTTCATCACCAAACATACAAAAAGAGAAAAAATATTAGATTTTTACACCAAAATAAGATAAAAAAGTAAACTTCTCTGTTTCTTCAAGCATTTAGCGACCTTTTTGGTTTCTCTACCTTTCTTTAATTTCTTTCTTCTGTGCTGGAATGCAAGTTTCAAGAACTGAAATTTCTCTTACGAAGAAAAAGAAAAGAAAGAACAAATCGAAGAAGTGTTGTTATATATATAGAGAGAGAACGAAAGAGATTTGTACTCTCACTTGTTTTCTAAGAGAGCAGAAAAAGTAAGCAAAGAAAGCAGATGGGTATAAAGTTAAAAAGAAAAAGAGCCTAAAACTATCAAGAATCATGAAAAAATCAAATCTTTTGCAAACTCGTTCCAATAAATCCAAATAAAGTTGATTTTTCTGTGAGAAAAAAATCACAAAATCTATTAAAAAACAGTCCAATCAAATGGCGCCTAACCCTAAATTCAAAATATCTCGATAGACCAGAAATAAAAATGAGAAAAAGTCGTTAACTTCACAAACAAATTTCAAACTATTAGATTAGATAGGAGAAAATACCTCAAGTTTGCCAAAGCTCAGCGTCTGCAGGGTTTTAGCCTGAGAAGGTGGTTGGGGGGGTTTAATTAGGATGGGCAAATGGAATTTTCACTTTTATTGTTTTGGGCTTTTGTTTTTGTTTGGGCTGTCTAAGCGATCCAATTACTTTTAAGGTCCAATGTTGGCCCAAATCCTGATAAGCTTCAACCCTTTTATGGATTCCCTTGCTTTATTCCATCCACAAGACTAAACACTCCCTCCGTCTATGACAGAATGATCGACAGAAACTTTTAATTTTTATTGAAGTTAGATGAGAAAATGTTGTAGTCTTGAGAACCTTAATTTGCAGAGAGATTTGTTGATAAACATATTCTAGTTAATAATTTGCTAGTAGTCACATGATAAAACACAAACTGAAACTTGTATGCCACCAATCTGCTGAAAGGACTTGGATATAAGACTGCAATATGGTAGTTCCTGAAATATGTCAGAAAGTCTTCACTTCTTAACACTTTAGTGGTCATTTTATATTCAACACAATAAAATAGTGAGAAGAGTGATATAGAGATCAACTGTGGGAATATGATTGGTAAATATATTATAAAGGTTCCATCCAATAGTACTTTGTATTTTCTGCAACACCGGACCAAATAGGTCATGGTAATATTTCTCCTTTACATAGAGCCTAACTAAATATGTAATAATGCATATTACAGTTAATTAAATCCCTCGGTCTCTGCCACTTTTTATATGCAGCTTATAGTTCTACTACTTATTTACCAGTTCTATAAACCTCCTTTAGAAACAAAGACTGGCAGATGGAGTGATAGGGTTCGCGGGTTCATTCGAGGATTGGTCTTTAATCATCCCCTGTTTGCCACAATGCATACTATTGACCTGGATCGAGTTGAGACCTGCAATAATCCCATCTGAGCCAGTCTGCGCTACCAATTTAAGACTCTCGGCTTTTGCTTTCATTCGAAGTCGCTCTGCTCTTGAGCCAATGACCTGTCCCAAGATAGAAGCAGCAATGGTTAATGCCATAGCTGTTTTGGGCATCACAACCGACTTCCTCAGCATAGCTATGAAAGGAACAGCAGCATGGACAGCAGCAAACCAAGATGGTGAGAACTTCTCAGTGTGCTCTCTCCATATGCCTAGAGGAATATTGGCTGCCATACCTAAGGCTCCAATAACAAGCATCTTTGAAGATAGTGGTTGTGGCCGCAGAGTCTTCACAAAGGCAGTCCTGGCAAGGGCAGCCCTGGCTGCAACAATTGCAGGTGGGCATTTGAGCTTCATTCCAGGAGGCAGCTGAAAAGCTGTTGCCACAAGTGGGAGGACACCGCTCACAGCTCTATAAGATTTGGCGATAGGACAGTTCCCTGTCTCCAACCACTCGTTCCCCATTGCCTCGTGCTTAGAGGAATTGTCCTGAAGAACAAAAAAGGATGAATTAAAGATACGGCGAAGTTTATAAGATGCCGTTTTTGCAGATAAGAATGCAATGAAGTAGCACTTCACCAAGGAGAACACTCATCAATTTCTTTGAAGAAGTTATATCCCATTGAATTTCACTTTCAGAAACAAGAAGACCTATCAAAATAAGTTGTGTCGTGATATTCAAGAAGAGTATCAAATTCAACAACTTACTATGACAATTATACCATTTAGTTAATGTCAAAGTCCAACATTATAGACTTATAGTTGACAAACACAGTTAATTTAATGAAGTCCCTCCTGTAGATTAGAAAATAATCTGAAAGGGCCATACAGCCAGACAATTTTCTTTTTCCCAATGTTGTGCAACTCTACCTACACTGTTTTAAGGTCATCATTATCCTAAAGTAATCCATTTGACAACTAGCATTAGATTTGAATATTGATACGCCCAAAGATAAAACAAACATACCACCCAAAACAATCAACAAGTGCAAGTACTCTATAATGATAATTTAAAGAATCAAAGAGAAAATAATGTTAACTTATCAGTATCCAAGGAGATTACTATGTTTTGTGCCATTTCCTTCTGATCCTCATTGAAAAACAAAAGCGTTCAACAGAGCAACTAAACCAGTAAAATCCAGTCAACATAATATGAACAGTTAAAAAGAATGACAATATCATTTGACAAGACAATTAAGATACAGAAAGTGAATAACTTTCATGTTTAAGTATCAATAGATCGAGAATATCCAGTTCTATCTCTAGTAACTATAGTTTTATCACCTAACCATTCTTTTCATTTCCTTTCATCTTTTGAAAATCACAATTTGGACTCCACAAGACTGAATAAATTTCAGAAATCCCATTTCCAGGCAAGCTAACCAATTCATTTTTCGAACATTTCGGTCTTCAAGTATATAGTCAATAACAGGAATTTAGAATCATGATCATAACTGCTGCTATTAATTACAATATAACATTCTTGGCTTCTTCAATACCACATATCCTTGTTAATTCAGCAAACAAACCTGAGAAGAAGGTTTCTTCTTTTTGGATGACTCAGGCTTCTTCTTCTGTGAATTCCATTTCCGAGAGAAAGAATCAAAACTAAAAGGGCCTCCTGGTCCGAATGCTGACAAACTTATGGTGGCAGCTTTTGCTGCTAACGGATGAAATTGAGGAGCAGATTCTGCTTCCGTGTTGTCATTGGAAGGTTGAGATCTTCCAGAAAGTGGGACAACTCCATCTTTTCCATGGAAGACTTTAAATGCCATATCGAAGTTGGGGCCATCTTCAAAAATTGGACCTTTACCCCCCTTTACCTGAAAGGTAATAGAGAGTAAGCGTGAGACACACAAGCATTAGAAGCAATAACAGCATAAGCAAAAGCAAATAATAAAAAAACTAGGATGTTTATGCTTAAAAAGTACTACAGCAAATGGATAACCATATCACTTGAAGCACCAACGATAAGAAATCACAACTTACAGGTGTTGGGAAGTTCAAGGAAGAGAAGAAAGAAAAGTTAGTCGGCTTATTGATGTTCCTCAAGAATGGGCATCTTTGAATGTCCTGCCCATTGAAGGAGCAATCAGATGCCTTCTCATTCTGTGTCCTGAAGAACTCCATTTCTTCTGATCCTGAATGAATATATAGGCAAAGAAAACTGTTAGAACGGGTATGAGGGTTGATTACACATTTTGGAATCGGATGTAGTATTTATGTCCAAATTTATTAAGATGCCGCTCACGGCAAAACTCTGTTAGCATAACACAAAAGATAGCAGATAGAAAAACAAGTTTTCAATATAACTAGCACTAAGCAATTTCCAAGACCATAATGATGCATAGTAGGACAGAGAAAGAAAGGACAGAAAAAGAGTAGAACAGGAGAGCCTTTAGCATCAAAGCAAGAAACAAGAAATGAACTGAGAATAGACAACATAAAATATAATTTCCTCGATTTAGACTTGTTTTATATGTCCCTCCAGCCACCTATAACTGGGCATTCGTTGTCAGAAGGCGAAAAGCGTTAAAAACTCTCCAAGTCTATCAAGGCTTTAAGCGCAAAGCGTAATTAAAGTGTGGGCTTTAGCTAGAAAAGGCGCAGCGAAGAAAAAAATAAAAAAGAATACGTAATGCAAGAAAAAATTAACAACTTCATTCTTAATGATTTCCTTAACAACTTTTTGTTTGCCAGGATACCAGGCTCAAACTCTTGACCTAGTGGCATGAAGAGGACTCTCTCAACCACTACGAACAAGAATGGCCGATAATGATTTCCCTCCAATTAATATATCTTTTTGTCAATCATATTTATTGTTTAGTGGAGTATCATTCTATTCAAGATAACAATTAGGCGCATGCCTTTATGCTTTGCCTATACTCAAGGTAGCCTAAGTGGCACGAAGCGCCTACTCTGAGCTTCAGGGCTTAAGCGCCTGAAATGAGCCTTCGAAAACACTGTTAAACTGGGGAAATATGAAAAGGATGTCACTAGCATTAGTATGCAATACCAGATATCAGAGATGCTTCTTTTAATATGTTTTTCCTCCTTCAGTTTCTTCAAGAAATCTGAATCTATCACTCAAATGCACTTAGATTGTTTGAGCAAAACAACCTGAGTTTGTGCAGAACAACACTTGGGCATTTTGGGAGTTTTAGTAGTTACCCACAAGTTTTTAGTAATTATAATCCAATCCCAAACCACTTATTACCTGAGACATTTGGGATCAACCCTATAAGTTTCTTTTTGAAAAAGAGGGACTTTGACCAAATCTCAGGTAATGAAGTAGCATGGGTTTGGATTATAATTACTAAAAACTCGTGGGCAACTCAATGTTATCAAAGGGGGAAAAGCGCGAAAAAGCTCTAAAGTCCATTGGGGCTTTAAGCCCAAAGCGCAAATAAAGCGTGGGCAATAATGAAAAAAGGCGCAAGAGAGAAAAAAATACAAATATGTATATGTAATCCAAGACGAATAATTATAACATGAATAACAAACATGTGTAAAAGAGAAAAAATAACGATAAAGTGAAATATCAATTGTTTCATGTCGCCTCTTCAGGATTATGCTCATTGGCTAGGAAAAGTATGCCTTAAAGCCTTGATGACGACACTGAAGTGTTCGCTAAGCGAGGCAAAGCGCTCAACATGTTTTGAGCCTCGCTTCAGGGATTAAGCGCGCTTTAAGCGCGGCTTTAACAACTCTGGGGCAAATTGCAAATTTACCTTAACTAGATTTTATTATTTAGTCTTGCAGTTCTTCACTGAGGTTTTTCTCTATT